AGAGCAGATTCAGATTGATCCCTGCAAAGATGCCTGAAACATGTTTGAAAACTTCAAAGAGGTTCACATCTTGCCCTGAAAAGCCACAAAAGACTGTTTACAGAAAGCAGAGACTGTTTACAGAAAGAATATACAGAATCAGTTAAGTTTTACAAACTATTACCATAGAAATAGGGATATAAGGAGAGGACTTCACCAGTTCAAGCATATGCTAGTCCTTGTCTGAAGCAGCTTGTGATGCTTTTCTGTTTTTCTTTGGTGGAGTCTTCTTTTTTCTTTTCTGCAATAGTTTAGAGACACAGTCAAGTAAGTAGTCACTGGTGTCTGTCGGAACTGAAGAAGTACAAGCATAGTTTTGTCCTTGTTTCCTCTGTTATGCTCAGATCAGACATGGAGAAGAATGATCTCGTGAACTTCACATGGCTTTTATCTCCATCCCCATGCTGAGTGCATCCCTAGGGCATCGCTCTAAGAGCTGCTTGCAGCTCAGGCCCACAGCAGATACTTCTTGTGCTGGGGTCTTGGCCCAGGAACTGGTGACCTGAGTGCTGCACAAGGCTGCCGCTGAGAGGGAAGGAAGGGGGAATGAAAGTAAGGGCAAACAGTGGAAAGGACAAAAGTATTTGTTAGTTTTAGATTTGTAGGCTCCTGACACGTCTGTTGGCTGGCCCGAAAAAAGCTATGCTCAACTCTTGCAATTGCTGCTGCTGCTGGCTGGTACCCAGAACAGAGCCTGGTGAAACATCCAGTCCCTCACTTCCAGCCTCAGGCCCATACCTCAGCTAAATGTCCGCACTGCACCAGTGAGTCTCTCAGTCTGCCACGTGCCTCTTGTGGCTGTGGAGGATTTGCCCTGGCCACACTGTGTGTATGGGATGGGTCAGATCTTTCCTGGCATTTTAAGGAGGTGCCTTGCCAGTGTTCTCCCCTCTGGTGCAGACAGGTGTGAACACCTGACAAGCTTTGACCTTTGAAGGTGGTGGTTGTGCAACATAATGCAGCTGCCAGAAGTGTTCATGTTAAGCAGCTATGGCCTCAACTATCTGAGGAATGCCCAGTGTTGCTAGCACTCCTTATTAAGGGAGAGCTCTATTTTTAAATAGTTAATACTGAGAGGCAGCACTACCTATATGTTGCAGGTTTAGCATTTTCAGAACCCTGTCTGTTTCAAAACAAAAGGAAGATGGAAGTTCTCGGAACATGGAAAAGTTCAGGCTCAGGTTCTATTTTTCATATCCCTGCAATCCTTGCTAGTTTGGATTTTAAAAACCTTAATCACTTTTAGCTTTCTGCATTCAGATCTCTCCATCAGCCCCAGTGGACACCACCTTAGATTACCTCCCACTCTCACTGCCCAAGTCTACACACTGTTTTGCCTTCTCAGATGCTGTTTTCCATGCTCCAATTAGATTAAGGGCTTGCCTGCACAGGAAAACTGCACGACTATTCATTTGCAGTTTGTCTTAAAGGAATTATGTGAAGCCTGGGCAAAAGGCCATGTGGATAACCTGGTATTCCTTTGCAGGAATATAAATGGCTTATTTCAATTTAGATCAGGTCGATCAGGAAGAACTTGCAAAGCTACACCAGAACAAAGAGAGTCCAGCACTTTCTACTGTGGATTGTGCCCTCCCAATGGGAAGAAATGGCATGTCAGGGTCTTCACCTCAGCAGAAGACAGAATGCATGGAACAGAGGTTAAATACTTAAAAACACAGCCTTTTACAAAATCGATAAATAAGATTATAGTCTTGCCCAACATGAAAAAAATCATACGTATCCACTTATTGCCCTTCTTTGATCGCTCTGTGAATGCCTGGCCTGTACTGGGTTATGAACAACTTGCAGTTTTACAAGTCATCTTTCTCCTGTTGGCAGGGTCAAAGCAACAGGAGATGAAGGAAGATGAAATGAGGCAGACTTCAGCAGCAGGGAAAAAAAAAACCAAAAAAAAAGACAACAAAAAACAAACAAACAAACAAACAAAAAACAAGAGGCACATGAGTAAATCTTGGATGCTGTGCATTCTCATTTTGAACTGGTTTGAACTGGTAAGCTAGCAATTATCTAAATCCAAATAGGCACCCAGTCAAGACGGCTCCTATATTAAGCAGCATTAATATTATGCTTTGAAGAAGGCACTAGTGCTTCTTCATATGGTTTCTGTAAACTTCTTTCTCTTCCAATTACCCTTTCTAAATGCCTCGAGGGCCCACGAGCCAAACACAGTGCTGGTCTTCAAGAGAAAGGGCGAAGGCTCCCTTCCCCACGTGTGTCCCTCGGCCACTGAGGGGTTTCCAACAGCCGGGAGGGAGTGAAAGCGGTACAGAGATTTGTAACGATAACAGGAAAGATTCGTATTGGTGTGAGGAGTGGAGAGGCCTGCGGGTGGAAGCCCCAGTGGGAGCGCCCAGCAGAAAGGGCTCTGAATGCCTGCGTTAATGACACCTGATTAGCAGGTCATCGAGCCCGCGGGCATCTGCCCGCTGCTTCACAAAGACGGATTTAGAGACAAAGAAGAGTGATTAGTCCCGATGGCTCCCCGAGCCGTGGCTGCATGGAGATACTGTCAGCTCTGAAAAGACACAAAAGGATGTCCAAACCTTGTTCACGGCAACCAAGCATAAGAATTCACCCAGGAGTCATGAGGATTTTGACAGATGGCGTCCTTTCTCCTCCTTCGCAACAGATCTGGACATAATCTTAATGGTGGTGGGGTTTGAGTGGCTTGAGTGCACCGGCTTGTGGCTGGACTTCTTGGGCACCGCACACTTAGCGTGTTTTGTTTCAGTTCTTACTTTTGCCTCTTCAAGTTTCCTCGCATCCCTGATATTTTCTACAAGTGTTGCAACAGTATTTCCTATAGAAAGAGCATTAAAAAAGAGCGCTCAGCTGCATAATTCAGTCTTCTCTCTTGTGATTGCTGCGGAGGGAAAAGTCATAATTCTTTTCATGTTAGGAGAAAACTCTTTTTCTAACCGTCGTCTTTTTTTTTTCTTCCCAGATGAGTTCTTCAAAGACCTCCCTCCCTCCCTTTTGCTCTCTTTGGCCAGCTGTGCAGCTGATGTAGCTGGTGTTCTGGTCCACTCCGTTGCAAGAGGTTATAACGCTTAGGCTTCAGTTCGCAATCACACTCCTTGCAGCTAACACACCATGTAAGTTAGAGGGGAGGTGAGACACCCAGTCCATCACGCTGCCTTAAGATTAGGAACGTCCCTTTACTCCGCATGGATGCTCTCAAACTGGATCTCCAGAACAACTGCATTCCTAAGCTGGGGGAGGGCTCCCAACCCCAGCAGGAACTGCTCTCTCCTAAGAGGCAGGGAAGCAGGAGCTGCTGTCTCTTCTTAGATCGACTTCCTGGCCATACAGCCCTTTGTCTAAGAGATGGCATGGTGCTTCTGTTCAGCTCAAAGGAGTGGCTGCAGGGCTTCTTGTTGTGTGGCACTTCTCTTCACGCTAACATAATTTTCCTTGTACTATAAGCTCATTGTTTTTTAGACTACTCATAGTAAACGGGAAGAGTTGCTTATTTCCTTCCTCTCTGCAGCTTTGTTTTGTATATTTGTGTAATGGCATCTTAGACTTTTCAAGACTAAATTATTCTTCATAGACCTTTATAGTCCACATCTTCTGAACTTCCAACAGAGCAGTAGCTGTACACTTCCCTGGAAATAGTGCTTATGAATTGACCTGACTAACAGGCATGGATACTGAGACTTTTGTCCTCACACGTTAGATGCCACAGTGGTAGGTGTAGTGAGAACTCCATACCTAACTTCTGATCTGGAACATCTCTAGAGGCACAAATAATATGTGGTGTTGAAGTTTACCTAAGTGTTTGGGATTTCCTCTAAAGTCGTTAGCCTCTAGGCTGTTTCAGACTATTATGATTTGTCTGTGCCAGATGTGGTAGTGTTTTTGTGATACAGACAAAACATCCCAGTAGCAACAGTGGTAACCAACTCATTTTGCACAAATTACCAACTCTCTGGAGGCAGAACATTCGTTCAGGCAAGGCTCATTTTATCAGCTGTAGATGGCTATAGATAAAGGCTCTCTAGCCTAGCTAGAGCCCAGGACAAGGTTACAGCCACTGGAAAGAAAAATCACACTCTGATGAATCATCTCATCCTAAGGTAGATACCTAAACCAGATCAGATAAGACATACCTTAGTCAAGTGTCAACGGTGCGGCAGATGACAAGATAGACATCTAAAATTAGATGAGCTGAAAGTCACATGTTGAGTTCATTAAATTGATGATGCATAGGTCAGAAGCACCACTTCCTGTTAGGAATCCTCAGAGCACACCTTTTGCCTTTTTGAATTTACGGACACCTTGGAACAATAAGATACAATGGCTTCTGAGAGATGTATCAAGGTCTGATGGCCAAGACTTTCACTAATTTTGAAAATGGAAAGCAATGTCTTCATTTTTAACTAAGTATTTTAATACTTACAAAACTTAACAATAAACATTTTTCGGAACAGGAGTAGTTGCTTTTCCACTTTTGCTCATGCCAGCATGTGGAATTGAAAAAGCAAACACTTGCATTAGGAAACGCCATGGCTAAAATAATGACATTCTGCAGAGAGGAATTTTGGGGTTGTATTCATTTGATACAGTTGAACTCTAAAGATTTATCTTGGAGAGTCTTTGCAAAATGTGCACTTGAAAATATTATTTTTACTACCATTGAATTGTCTCCATTTTCTTCCTCTCATTTTTATTCCTTAGTTAATAGTTTATAATTAAGAAAAAAACCCTCTTGTGATACCAAAGCACATCTCCTGTCCCACTGCTGTGCAAATGCACATATAACCACTTGTTTGTTTGTACTTTTACAGGTGTTGGTTGGTTCTGTGCAGATACGGAATGTGGTTAAAGTTTTATAATGGAAAATCTGACAGGCAGTTAACTAATCCATGAGTCATATTTCGTAAGTGCCTAAAGGTCTCTGATGTTCGACCTTCATTTGATACCCTTGCCATCACGGAGTTATGCATAACCCATCTGAAGAACATTCTTTATATAGATGGCTGCATGCTGCCCTTTTATACCTGCAAGAATGAGCATTGCACTTACTGAAACAGGGAAGTCTACTGCCTGCCTTTCCACCCCTCTCTCTCTGTGGCTGTTTGCGGAACTGCAGAGGTACATTCAGGAAACTGACTTAAATGACAGCAGTGGAAGACTTCCTGCTTAGTTTAAGTCCTCTGTAGGGCCTAGCTGACAGGTAAGGAGAGGGGTGGGGAGCTGTTTTTGGGTTCTATTTGTCTTTATTTTGAAGGATTTAATCATCAGTACAGCTCTAATAATGTACGTAGCATTGGTGCTACCAATACTAACAGAATTCTGGTGTTTTTACCTGTCCGTAGCTCAGTTGGGCTTAAGGCAGGCCAGGCAGATACGGAATGAGACAACCTTTTGTCAGATGATCCCAAATGGGAAACGCACCTTTACTGATGACAGTGGAGGTTTACCAGCCTTAGCAGTGTCAAGGTGTTTATAGAAAGTCTTATGACGTGTAGGGGGCCCTTCTGGAGAACCTACTACTTTATTCCTCGGCCAAAGGATGGAAAAGCACTGTTTGCTTTTTTGAGTACCATAAAGTTGTTGTGGTTCAGAACTTCTCAAGTTGCCCAGTATGACAGTAAAGAATATTGGCATCGCTGTTATTTTCGAAGCTAAAATAAGGCAGACACATGACTTCAGCAAGCGCATGTGAAGTTTGCACATCATAAGTCATTGCAATAAAGAAACCAAAACAAAATCCTAGTGTGTTGTTAAAGCTGGAATATGTTTTCCATTAAAAAAAAAAAAAATTCCTTTAGATTTGATTTAGCTTCTTTTTCCACACCTATGGAACTGTAGAGTATCTCAAGAATATTAGCACACTGCCTTTGCAAGACAGAAAGTTCCAGTCTTCCTGAATGGACCCAAGTATAAAGTATAACAGAAGGTTATCTTATTTTTTCAAACACTCCAGCAACAGCAGCTTTTACTGCACTGCCAAATACTAGGCAACAATTAGAACAGCTGGGAAGACAAATCAGAAAAAAAGAAAGCGGAGGACAAGAGCGGTGTCCCACGCTTTTACTTTGGCTGCCATTTTAAGAAGCGCGCCCTTTGGCAAATAACCATTTTGTAATTGTGTTTTAAGATCACAGCAGACGTTAGGGATGATGTATGTGCAGCATGCGAGCTCCTTGCTGAGTGCTGAGAACTGCCCAGTGAGGATCTGGCACAGTGGGAGGGGAAAGATATACACAGCCTGCCTGTAGGCACCAGCGTGGAGGTTAGTCATCTGCTGAGTCAATGGGAGACACCAGCACCTCCGAAGGGTGCTTCTGCCTACTTGTCATCTAAAGTTAGACAGCTAACGTTGGTTGCTAAAAAGGAGCTGAGATGAGGGAAAGGGTTTCACAGCAGATATATCTGCCTGTATGTGTGTTAGCAATTCTACCGCTTCACACATCTCTATGTATTTGCATAGAGAATGATTCCTGGCTGGTATTTTCAAGAAGTGAATTCCCACTTACCAGAACATGATAATAGCTCGTGTTCCTTATTTACAGAGGTCTAGCTGTACAAGTATTGACTTGTCAGTCACAAATTCTTGCAACAATCAGGAAGAGTTAGGGATTTTCCAACCTTGCAAATAGCTTTCCAAGAAAGTCATCAGAAACAGTTGGATAAACACACAGTGCAACTTGTAAAACTCCAGGCAAACTGACAGCACAGTCAGAATTAGAATCAGTCTGAGCTTTTTTTCTGATGTGATGCTGGTCATGTAACTAGTGTTGAGATAAATCTGGTTGCATGGGAACTGCTGAATCACGGCCTGAACCTCTGATTGATCACCTGAGGCGAGCAGTAAGTCAGCCACAGAGCCCAGGTGAAGGCAATTCAGCTGTGCGATCAGAAGGGGTGGAGCCTGGCTGCACCTCTCCTAGACCCCATTTAAGGACTGACTGCCACTGAGGAAGGATCTCTGTCTGGAGGTTCCTCCTTGTGGAGTTTCTTGTGAGCCTACATTGCTGGTGAGCACTTTTCATTTATCTCATTATCTTTTCCAATGTGATAATCTTACCAGCCTAACTTCTCTGCATGCTTGTTGATCGTACAATGCTATACAGCATCTATATACTTACTGATCTTACACCTGGTGCAAGCAGCATACCCTAAACTCTAGGAGCCTTCAGTTTGGAGGAATTTTTGTCCTGTTTGTAGTGTCTGAAAGTGTGCTGAAGGATTTGTGTTGGTATCGTTTGGGGTTCCTGCAGAAAGAAGGGCCCAGCTACACAAATCCTATCAGCAGAGTAGGCCTTTTTGAAACAAATGCGACATAATAAAATGCACTACAACACTTGTCTGGTGGCCTGAGGCACTGCTTTCCCCATTTGGCCTGCAGTATCCACTGGAGTCAGTATAATGATCTCCAGCAGTTTATCCTGGCTTTGGATCATGGTATTCATAGCAAGCGTTTGTTTCTGAGTGCCAAGAAGATAGAGGAGCTGTGCTGTACAACTGTTCCACAGCACATTGCACTCTTATTTTGGCTGGCTCTTTTGTATTTAAAAAAATGTTTTTCTTTATAAAAAGTCATTTTCTTCAGTCTCAAGAGAATTTTCTGTTCTGTCCATCCTTCCTCTTTTTATTACAGCATTTGCTATAATTGTTAAATTGTAAGAACATCATTACCTAGTTCTCTCTTTCTCTTAACTATTCCTGGCACTGAGAATTAAAAGAAAATATACATTTTTAGTTCTGTGTGTAGCTCCACTGGCTTATTTTCATGTTTTGATAGTGCTTTTCAGGCTCTCAGCTTGCCCTTATTCTCCTTGATTCCTGATTCACTGAGCTTGCGTAGAGACTGATGCTGCAGCAGGGTGAAGTAAAGCACTGAAAAAATCAGTAAAGAACTGTGACAAAAGAATAGGCATTGCCCCAGGGACTAATATACTAAAACATCTTGAAAAACTTCTGAAAAACAGACCAGTTTTGAGTTGACAGTGTCCTTTTAAGAACAGTTCATGCTGAAAGGTCCTATGACCAAGTTGCTTGGCTAAGCATTGCTTGGCTAAGCACAAGTGTTCATGATTTTTTTGAAATATAAAACATTTATACAGACAAAAATCACAGAATGGCCAGGGTTGGAAGGGACCTCAAGGGTCATGAATCTCCAACCCCCTGCCACATGCAGGGCCACCAACTTCTCCGGTATCTCACAGTCACTATGTACAATTTCTGTGATCCCTTGTCCAGATTTATAATGATCACTTGCTATGCCGGCAGAACTTAAAATGTTGTGGTTTTGTCTTTAATGCTATAATTAAAAACAGGATGATTTTTTGTGGGACTAGAATAATCTGTAGTTCTTTTGAGAGCTCAATCTTTTAAGCAGCCTCATCTAAGATACAATCTTTACTGACCTAAGCATGCAGACACGTTTTTTTACACTTACTGATGTCTTCACTGAGGAATTATACGTTCTTAGGGTTATTTCAACCTGATATCTTAAGATATTTAATCTCTCACTAGTTCTTCACACTTTGTGGATGAATGGATGTTCCTTACCGTGCAACAAAAAGACCAGTCTGGCATTCCTTATATTTTCAACAGGGCGTACTATGCGTTACAGCAGTACTCAGTGAGAAGTAATTACAGGGAGCAGTAGGAAGTTAGCTCTTCAAATGGGAATTTCTTTGCATTGGAATACTTACCTATTTTGATGTCTAATGTTTAATTAGCACTATTCCTCTACAAATTTCTGCCGTGCAGAAACTTTTAAGTCGCTCTTAAAAGTTTTGTTCTGAAAATGGTGCATGTAAGGTATTTGAATCTTGAACCTGGTTTGTCTAGTAGTACTAATGACCTGGGGCAGACAGTGTTTAGATGGTAGCAAGCACCATGGCGGCACTTAGTAAATAATGAAATAAATCATGGACTTTGTTTCTGTTTAAACAGTGTGCTTACTCTCTTTGTATACCAGTCTTCTGGATCCTGCTCAACAGCCTCATTTGGATGAAACTGGATACTGTGCCAATTTTATTCCAGCTCCATTAATGTATGGCAACAATACAGACAATGCATTGGCTGACAAAGAACTCCTACTCCTCCTCTGGATTAATGTGGCGAGGTTTTTGCAGTGGGGTGGCCTGCAAGAAGCCCAGCAGCTGCCCCATGTCAGATAACAGCCCTTGTAGGAGCAGCTCAGGCCTGAGCTGCAGCCCATGGAGAGCGATGTGCAGAGGGGCAGGAGAGCAGAGGGAGCTGCTGCCCGTGGGGAGCTGTGTGGAGCAGTGCCTGAAGGGTAGACTACATGGTACAGAGCTTGGTACGGTGTTGGAACAGTGCTGGGAGTGCTGTAGCATGTGGAAAGCCCATGTGGGATCAGACCAGAAAGGATGACATCTCATGGGAGGGATCCACAAAGAGCAGAAGTAGAGAGTGACCGTGGAGGAGCAGAAGAAATGAAGCTTTATGGATTGACCATAGCCCCCTTTCCCTGTTCCCCTGCGCTCATTGAGGGAAGGAAGTAGAAGCTGAGCCTGAAAAAAGGTGAGAGATGTTTTCAGTCTGTTTTTATTTCTTGGTGCCCTATTAATAATAGGCCATAAATATAATTAATCTTCCCCAAGTAGCCTATTTTGCTTGTGATAGTAATCACTGAATGTTGTCCCTGTCTTTCCCTCAAATCCATGAGCTCTTCCATTGTATTTTCTCTTTCTGAAGAGAAGTGAGAGAGCAGCTTGATGGGCACCTAGTGACTTGCCAATGTTATCCTACCACAAAACAATAAAATCCCAAGTCCTTGAGCCTGCACTAACAGTATAGAATCGTAGAATCACAAGATTGGAAAGGACCTACAAGATCATCCATTCCAACCTTCCTCCCATCACCACTGCTACCACAGGCCACTGAACCATGTCTCGTAGCTTCTCATCCAGAACATTGCCAGGGACAGAGACTCTATACCTCCCTGGGCAGGCCATTCCAGTGCCTGGCCTCTCTCTGAGAGAAAAAGTTTTTCCTTATGTCTAATATCCACCAGGACTTCTAGTTTATGTACAAGTAGATGAGTAAGGTAGAAAAGGAAAGTGATGAATGCATTCAAGGCAACAATTACAGCACATAAGAACCATTGTGTCTAACTCACTGCCCTGCTCTGGACTGTGAGATGTATTCTGAAAATGCAGTTACTGTACCAGTGATGGATGGGGTACCCAAGTACATGAGAGCCAATGTGAATTGGTGGTGTGAAGAAAACTCACACTAATTAACTGTTATAAAGTACAGAGTGGAGAGAAATTGGAAGAGTAAGTGTTAACTGCGCTCTACAGTGTTGGCCTTCCAGACCCACCTGCAGGTGCAGAAGCAGAGGGTGGATGTGCTGTAGAGGGGAGCTGTGGGCTTCCCTTAGAAGAGCTTGAGAGCATTTCAGTAACCCCAGTGTAAGAGATGTCCCAGGGAAATCATACTGCAGCTGACTGCCTAGATTGCACATGTTTTTAATAGAAACATTGAAAATTGTTTCAAGACTGAGGCGCGTACATGTTAAATGTTGAGTATGAGCTGAGGAACACACAGAACTGTACTAAATTGGTTTCTTGTACAGGCTGACAAAACACTCAGGGTGCATCCTAGTCCCAAGTGCTCTCATAAAAGCCCAGGTATCCTTGTACTCTCCAACTGCCAAATCAATCTTAAGCAACCTCACTTAAAGGTTTAACTCTCAGTCTGATTTAATCACTTTTCCATCACGAATTAGCAAAGCTGAGAAATACTTTGTGGCTAGCTTCAGTGTATTTTATATCTGTGATATCTGTACTTTTTAATTTTCGATGTATAACTGATAAAATAATAATCCCCATATGCATTTATTGTGGAATAATAATACTTACGGGAATCAAAAGATTAGTACTATATGTCATCTTTATTGCAGAAGGAATTACACTGAGGAGCCCTGAGGTGGCCCGGAGAACAGGAAGGGACAGCATTCAAAACTCCAGCAACCAGTGAAACAGGAATTAAGATATTACTCACCGAAGCCTCTACAAAACCAGACTAAAATGCAGTCGAAAGTCTTTGCCAACTCTGGAACTCAAATGAAAATCTGCTGTCTTAGAAGCAATAGCAGCCAGAGGGAGTTGGGAAGGGATCAAGGAAGAGTGGGGTGGGAGACAAAATCTCAAAGACCACCGGGATGAGAGGTATTCACCACCTTAGACATCATCACGTGAAGGCAGGATGCCCTGTGGAGCCTCGATTGCCCAGCAGAAGTTACTGTGTTGAGCAGAGGGTTTCCTGGTCAGAGTTTGGAGGAGGCCAAGCTAGGCAGTCTGAGTCTGAACTGTTTGCTCTGTGATAGCAGCTGTAGCTCTACTGAGTGGTAAATGAGTGAGTAACGGCAAGCTGGCAGAGCTGAGGCTGCAGTAAGAGAGACACATATCTTGATGGTTCAGGCATGCCCTGTGTCAGCCGTGAATTCTGCAGTTTGTGTTAATAAGTGGAGCATGCAAGTTGTCTGCTTGCCATAATGCGGGCGGCAGCCAGGCAGCCTGTGAAAATGGATGTTGTGGGGGCACCAAAACAAGGAGCTGAACATACTATCTCGAAAGAAATCTCTACAGAAAGAAAAAGGGAGATACCATCCTTCATGTCTGGGCTAGTGTGAATTCATCAGGCTTTGTGTTTGAATGGGATCCAGGTATAGTGTACAAGTAACTCCTGTTTGCTCTGCTTGACCTAAATCCAAGTTTTGCTTTGTCAGGTTCTGTCCGACGTGTGTTCTGTTTCCCTACTGCGTAGTAGCAGTGCTGGAGGCTGGGTGTTAGTATTGGCAATCTGATGATTCAATCACACAAGTATGAAGGCCATATTGTGGCAATAGGGAGGAAGTGAGGGCATGTAACCTTACCATGTGTTTTGTGGTGGTCGAAAGTTTCAGTTCATGCTGAAAGAATTCTTACTTGCGAAGTTTCAAAAGGATTAAATGCAGACTGTCCTTGTATTCTAGACAGCAGTCAGGCACCACAAGCAACCTGCTTCTCTGCCAACAATGTGTTTGGGGATATAATGCCTTGTTCAGTTATTTATAAGTAGTCATTTTCTGGGATCAACACCTACCAGAGCCCAGCCATCCACTTCCACCGCCTCCCATTCCTTGGCAGCCATTCCTGCAGCAGGAATGCATAGGTGGTGAGAGTCCTCCAGCTGCCCTTCAGCTGTCCTCATCTTCAGCCTCTCCGGTTTGGGGGTCTTGACTGGTAAGAGAAGCATCTGTTTGAGACCCTGCCTTAAACAATCACGCTGCCATAAATGAATAAGTTTCCATTGCTACGAGTCAGGAAGACTGCCAGCTCTTGGATACCCACCTCTGGTTGGGCCACAAGAGGAAGTCACCTTGGCACAGAGTCTGTGGAGACACCAAATCCCACTCCTGATCATAGAATCACAAGGTTGGAAACGACCTATAAGATCATCCAGTCCAACCATCTCCTCATCACCATTGCCACCACGAGCACTAAACCATATCACACAGCATGTCATCCAGGTGCCTCTTGAACACTGCCAGGGGCGGTGACTCCACCACCTCCCTGGGCAGCCCTTCCAGTGCCTGACTACTCTCTGGGAGAAATAGTTCTTCCTTATGTCCAACCTAAAATGTTGATGTTCACAACAGGTTTGAACTAAGCAAAGTACTTTACCCATGGACAGTGCTGAGATGCTGGTCATCTCAGAAGAAGTGAGCTTGGCTGTGAAGGCAGAGTGTGATATAATTGGTTGTGAGATATGAAGAGAGAAATCAGGCAACTGAAATTGCATTTGGGTCCCAAATGTGGGTTGTGAGATTTTTTCCGGGTGGTGAAGACGTTCAGTATGCTACATGTTTCAGAGATTGAGGCTTGAAACCTAACTAAACAAATAATGAAAATATAAAAATAAAATCAAATAAAGAAATGGAGTATTGTTGTTGTTTAACCTTGTTGGGCAGCTCAGCACCATGCAACTGCTCACTCATTCTCGCCAGGCAGGATGGGGGAGAGAATTGGAAAGGTGAGCAAACCAAGGAATTCATTTACAGTTTCCTATTGGCAAGTGGGTGTTCAGCCACGTCAGGAAAGCATGGATGTATAGGACATCCCTTTGGCTAATCTGGGTCGGCTGTCCTGGCTATGTCCCCTCCTGACTCCTTGTGCCTCCCCAGCTCCTCACTGCAGGGCAGTGTAAGAAGTGGAGCTGTCCTTGGCTATTTGTAGCACGGCTCAGCAACAACTAAAATGTCGGCATGTTATCACTACTATTAATAGAATCATAGGATAATAAAATGGCCTGGGTTGAAAAGGCCCACAATGATGATCCAGTTTCAACCCCCCTGCTATGTGCAGGGTCACCAACCACTAGGCCAAGCTGCCCTGAGTCACATCCAGCCTGGCCTTGAATGCCATCAGGGATGGGGCATCCACAACCTTTCTATTTTCATTGCAAATCCAAACCACAGCATCATACAAGCCTCTACAAAGAATATTACCTTATCCCAGCCAAAGCATGACAAATATAAAATCCACAAACCAAAGACGAAAGGTCGCAACGCATAGCAGAGAAGGGAGAAAAGCAGCACTTTTGGTCTGATTAGGTATAAAACACGCAATGTTCTCAAGAAGCAATGTTTTTGCTCTGTTCCAAGTCAAGAAGTATAGACAGCAAAATCTTAGTATGTGCTCCCCTTTGTGAATTGCACCACGTAGATATACAAAGGTAGCCAAGCTCATATACCATGCGTGCAGGTGTCACTACAGTATAGCAGTTAGAATTATTACCACTTGAAGAAGAACGAGGAAATATTCATCAGACGACCATGGAGAAAGGAGATGGGGGAAGAAGTGGCTGTATCTTGACAATCCCCTATCAAATGTTAGTTCTAAATAAAAGTTCATTCTGTTGTAGATTGTTAGATGCCAAATAACAAACTTAAAACAAATCTTGACAGAAAGAAAATAATTGCCCGTGATACCTGGATCAATATCTCAGTACACAGTGCTCCAGGCAGAGAGGGTGCACAATATCTTTAGACGTTTAACCACTTGTATGTGTTTCCATGGGGAGGTTAGGCTTCCAGTGATTGGTATCATTAGTATCATAGTCAGTATTTTTATCTTAGCAAGCCCAAGATGTATTGTGGTTTAGGCCCCAGAAGTTACCAACTCTACTGTGAGGGAACTAAGAGAAAAAATTCAAGTGCATTAGAAAATGTGGAGAGATTTTCCAAGGATCATTTATGAAGCATCTTCTTTGCTTGTTGGTTTCTACTGAGCACAAAATAAGTCCATTTCAGAAAAGTGGTGATTAAACTGGGTTAAGTTGATGTGATTATGCTGAATTATCCACATCATGAAAAACTTCACTGAGAGGGAGGAAATGGCCACACAGATCCCAGCAAGGTCTGCCGAAAGATAGGTAAGCTTGCTCCTCTCCTGGCAAAAGAGCTTAGTCCTACACAGGATTCGTCTGGATGCCTCAGACTCACTTTCAATTTTAGGATGAGAGTGAATAGCCTTAAGTTGCTCCAGGGGAGGTTCAGGTTGGATAGTAGGAAAAATTTCTTCTTGAAGGGAGCAGGGAGGCAGTGGCACAGGCTGCCCAGGGAAGTTGTGAAGTCACCGTCCTTGGAGGTGCTCATGAACCGTGTGGATGTGGCACTGAGGAACACGGGCAGTGGGCCCATGTGTGATGGGCGGTAGTTGGACTGGGTGATCTTAGATGTCTTTTCCAACTGTAATGATTCCCTGATTCGATGAATTATCTTCTTGGAAATCAGTCATCCCATCATTGCTCCCACTTGCGTGGCTCACTCTGCATCCACATTTGCTGGATTTTGGAAGCTTCCCTGAAGACACTGAGGCAAGCAAGCTTCCCTAACGAAGTCTTCAGTGATTCACCCAGAGTATCTGACTTACATGGGCAACTTCTGTGTGATTTCTGCAGTGGTCAGATGCTCTGGAGTAGCACTTGGAGTGGATACATGCCCAGGCCACCTGCTCCCAAGCACAGCCCCAATTGAAGGCCACCATCCACTTTGTAATCCTACCACATAGAATTTGAAAGCATTTAGGAACTGTGGCAATCACTAAGAAAGAAATTGCATTTTATTGTGGGGACCAGGGCTTCCTGCTGGCCAGCAGCCAGGAGCTGGCTTCATCTCTGAGTGCTCCCTGGGCATTCTGCTCTGCTGCCCCACTCCGTGGAGGTGGTGCAGCAGATACCGTGCCACAGACCTCTCTGTGTACCCTTTGCCTCTCCTCAGTGCTATCAGAGTACTGCCCTGGGGAGCCTGGACTGAGACATGTGCTTGTGTGTGTGCGAGCACGTGCGTGTGTGTGCGCCTGTGCACACACAGCTGTGTTTGTTTTCTGCTGTATATAGGAGAAAACAAGATTATTTATGTTCTAATAACTGTGTGTTCCCTGTGTGAACTATTTTCTGCTCTGATTTATTGTTCTCTCTCGGCCTGCCCTCAAGCATTGTTCTTATATTTGGAGCCGGTCACACTTTTTTCCATCTGCAAATGGAAATCTTAAATGGCGTATTAAATAACAATTAAAAAACAAAACAAAACAAAAACCCAACAAACCAACAAAGAAGATTTGGAGGAAGGAGGAGTTTCATTCCTCTGTTTTCCCATTATTTTTTTCCTCTCATCTTTCCTTTTACGCTTTCTCCCACCTACCCTTTTGCCCATTTTTTCTTTGAAAGGAAGGAGCTTTTCTCCCTTATGCTTCTCAGGTGTTTTGACTCAATCTCAGACAAGTTTTCGTGCAGTCTGGGTAAAAATTCTTTTATAGTCTTGTCTTTAAATCTTTCTCCTTTACTCAGTGTTTTAAATTCTCCTCACTAGCTCAGAGTCTCATTCTTTTTTGAGGCGTGAAATCCCCCCAGCTCTATTGCCTACACAGCAAAAGGAACACGAACAAGGCAAGAGACTGTAAAGAAAAAAACAAGAGAGAATAACAAAAATTTGGCTAAGAAAAATGAATCATCCAGCATTATGCCACAAGAAAACAAAATCCAGAATGTATGTATTTCTTCCTTTCTTATGGGTCATACCTATCAAGCAGGATAAAATCTCGTGCTATTGTATTTGTTCTCTAAACTTGAGGCACAAACTGATTTGTATGTAGCCTCCAGGGATGTTGTCACCACACAAATGCTGTCATTAAAGTGTTGGTAGGAGGTCCATTAGGAAATGCCAGGGCTGGAGGGTCTTTTTAGGAAAAGCAACTAATGCACAAGTCTGGAAGAACAGCTGGGTGCTCGTAAATTAGGAGTCTTTAGGAGGTCTACCACACATCACTGTAAAACTGCAAGCTTGCTAGAGTTTTTTGAGTTCACTGCTCTAGATACGCTCCATGTCCCCCAGCTTTTCTATCTGCTTCATGCTAAGCCTTTCTGTGGCTGTAATTCTCTGCCAGTTAACTCCCCAGTGTCTCAGTGCTTCTCTGTCTCTCCTTTCAGTTCTCTTGGTTTCTTGGTACTGTTTTGATCCCATACCTCAGCTGCTCAAGAGGAAAGAAAAGCAGCTTAGAGGATTCCTCCCCTCTTCCATCAGCTGCCCCTCATTAAGAAAAGATGCGTATCCAGATGTGAAACTAGAACCAAGCCTCCTGGAGTTCAAGGAGCATTTGGACACCACTCTCAGATACAGGCTTTGGAATTTGGGTGGTGCTGTGTGGAGTCAGGAATTGGACTCAGTGATCATTATGGGACCCTTCCAACTTGGGATATTCGGTGGTTCTGTGATTCTATGAAAAAAATAACTATAAATTATTAACTATGCAATACCTTCAGTGTTAAGACTAAAAGAAAGACTAAAACTGAAATAATATGAAAGTCTTGTTCTGCCCATTGTTCCAGAACAGTGAATGCCGAGGTTTTCTGATCCTGAAAAATCAGGTGCTTTTGGGTAGAGGCCTCTAGAGGTCACCAGCACATAATTAATAAGGCAGAGCTAAGCACAGATACGGAGTGTAAATTGCTTTGTTTCGATGGAGACTTTAAACCTCTCTGTGCCCCCTCTCACAAAGAATCCAGACATCATTAAATAGCAAATAACATCAGGTGCCAGAAAAACCATAACCTCCTGGACAAACTTCACTGTATAGAAGTCAGGTCCCTTTGGTGTAGGAAAGCAGTCACCACATCGACATCTCCTGTCAGACTCTCACCTGCACACTTCTGTAAACAAAACCTGCCCTGGAGTCTGGGCTCTCTCGTGCCCCAAATCTGTAAGCCCAGTAAATGCTGTGAGTGTCACCAAACCATGAAGTATGCCAGTTCTTTCCCTAGCACTGGTGCAGGAAAGCAGTGACTCAGAACAGAGCACAGGCTGCACGTGCACATTAAATAATTGGTAAAGACTTTTCTACTTTTCTTTTTACCTTGTGAGTTATTATCTGAAGAGGCAGAAATCCCCTTAAAGAGTAAAGTTGCCTTCCAGGTCAC